CTGTCTCTGTTTTACAAAGGCGAGACGTATACCCCCGTCAATATTTATACAGCGATGAAGTGGTGCTCAGAAGGTTGGCAAGACGTATCGACAATGACCATACGAAACTGTTGGAATCACACTGGTATTGTGTCGAAGATGGATTTATGATTTGTACTTAATTAAGGTAATACAAAGTAGTACATTTGGATTCCATCTGCTCCTCTATAAATATTCGCAGCTCGTAGACTCTATATGGTCCACCCCGCCGAATACGAGGTGCACGACTGTATTACATCACGTAATTTACAAGCAAATGTAATGAATTAATAGAGGGTAGAATGCCACAATACATGTACAGTACTACTGTAACGTTAGTAGAATATTTTCATCCACAAAACAACACCGAGGTACTACTGTAACGTTAGTAGAATATTTTCATCCACAAAACAACACCGAGATATTTCCTGCTTACACAAAGTTCTGCTTGTAGTTGTCCTTGGGCTGGTTAAAGCTCGAGCCGAGGTCGCTACTGGAGAGTTGGGACGCCTTAGTCTCGCGCTGTCTTGCTTCTCGCTCTGCGTCCTTGTTTTTCTGCATCTTTTGCGTCTCCTTCGCCGTCACTAGAGACGCTAGCCACACCGACCCGATAGACAAAAGGATAGCGACACTACCGACCACCATTGACAATCCCATCGGAGGTCCATACACACGTTTCGACAGACTGCTGGAGCTCTCAGAGGTATCAGACTGAGCCTCCGTGTAGCGAGGTCCGCTCCACGACGTGGACGAACACACACAGCGAGACTTGACACACGTTCCCGTCTTCAGTAACGAGGACCCGACACTGCCGCCAATAGTACAGTCGTCATTGGTCTTGCAGAATGCCTTGCCGTGCACCGTCTTGACCGGGTTGTCGTCGTCCGAAAACTCATCGATGTGGCCTTCGATTCACTCCTTGGTCGGGTGGCTCTTAGGGTCACAACCGAGCTGCATGTAGCTATCGGCAGGAAGGTCTTCGCTCAGGTCTTGGTATAGTCGGATGTAGTCGATCTTCATGTACATGGGGAACTCGTCACAGATCCGGTTCGTCTCTTCGTCAGCCCCGTCGCACCCCACGAGCTGGATAATGCCACGTTGAAAATGAGGTACATGGGCTCTTCCAGCATCACTTTGACCGGGTTCGACTTGTTCGCGTTCTGCGGGACGTTCGAGAACGCGTCAGTCGTGACCTCGAAGATCGGAGCACCGTTCAGCATCCAACGCACGTAGCCGTTCTCACCTGTGACCCACTCAACTTGGTAGACAAGATAGTCGAGATATCCACCTAAATGAATGGGCCAGTTGGACGAGATAGCATCCATCTGATAGTTAAAAGGACTCATAGTGTTGGACTTGGGTGTACTGGCGTTACGGGGCTTAGTACACATCGAGTTTGTGTTGTCAGGATCGCACAGATACGCACCCATGTACGAGTTCATGATGGGGTAACACGTGCCATTGGAGTTGATCCCCCAGTGGGCTTTTCCCTTGTTGTCGATAAGACCCATGTCTCCATTGACATCCATGGACGCAGGACAGGTGTCAGCTGTGCATGTGTTGTCTGTGATTCCTGTTTCCACAGATTTGTTCACTGTGGTGAAGTCTTGCTTGGCACTGGCATCAGGTTGGCAATAGTTGTTGGCGCCGTAGCGGAGACCTTGGTACCACGACTTGTGGCCACGCATCTGCTGGAAATACGACGTCGGTACGTCAATGACGTTGGCTCCTTTCGTTTTACAGTCGTACGAGTACACGCAGAACGGACTGGTCGCATCAGCTCCTTTAGCGTCCGCAGGGAAAAGACGAAAGTCGGTGGGCATTCCTGGAGCGATCTGAAGCGATGAAGAGATGGCTAAGCCTCCACCTTCCAGGACATCGATCTCTGGAGCTCCACGTCCTTGAATCGGGTTCAACTCATAGCCAGGATCATCGTCACAGGCGCCGATACGTTGGAATTCGGGGTTGAACACGTCCGGCTCGCATTTGTTGTACGAGAATGGCCACATGCGGTTCGTCGAAGCCGAGAAAATGGCTCGACCGAGGTTTCCCATCATCCAGATACCAGGCCACGTCGGGTAGTAGGCTTTCGTAGCCACTTTACCAGACTTTCCCAGTGCTAAATCAGGGTTTCCAGAACGGCACCGGGAAGTTGAGCTTTGACTTCCAACAAACCTCCTTGGAAACGAAACTTGTTCCAGGACTGCACCATTCCAGCTCGGTAGTAGAAATACGCGTCTTCGAAGCCAGGAGGATACGTGTACATGTTGTAGACGGAGATGGTCTGCGGTTCGTCGGACACTTCGATGTAGAAGTAGCACGTGTCGCCGTCGCACTTGGTACTTGTCATGTTGTGCGCATAAATCTCCAACGCTCCGTTCACACCGTCGGGTTTGTCCAAGGACGTCCACAAGTGGTCGTCACCTGGTCGGAAGCTGCGGTTGGCCACGTTGAACTCGTCACTCATGACGAGGTCCCATTTCCTTCCACGAGAGTTAATGAGCGTTTGTCGGTCGTCGGGCGTGTCTGGGTCGGCCCAATTCTTGATCCCTGACTTGATCGGAAACGACGAAGACGTCGAGCTGTTCTTAGCTGCCGCGATAGTAAACGCAGTCGCAGTAGCTGCCTAAAGTGTACCTAGCCTCATCTTGAGATACGATCTCAAATATTCGCTCTCGGTGGAATGGAGCAAATTCGTAAATGAACTGGGAGACTGCAACTGAATCGTCAAGACAAGAATGTAGAAAGAGAGAGAGTTAACGGGTTGCTGGTGCACTCGCACGTGCACTGAATCTTCCCATTTTATCTTGTCCATCTGTGTAGCCACCTGAGCACGAACACTAAACGCCGTCCAGAAACTTGGTGGAGAGACGAAAATCCGCATGTTTGTGTACTACTGAGATTGAGACGCGCCAGTTGTTTGAAGTGTGGATGGGAGATACACAGCAGTTTTTATTTACATTTCTCTAGCGTCCATCACTTTGCTTTAGACAAAGTTCTGGCTGTAGTTGTCTTTGGGTCTCTGGCCAGTTGAGTTGCCGTGGTTGACACTACCGTCGTCGATACTATTAGCCGCCATTTTGGCCTGAGCGCTCGTCTTGGTCAAGAGCGCCGCCTGCTTCTTCATCGAGGCTATACTCATGTACACCGAGACGATCGACAAGAAGACGATGACGGCAGCGACACCCATGGACAAACCCATGGGCGGGCCGTACGCACGATTCGACAGACTACTGGCACTCGAACTGGTCGATCCAGCCAGCGCCGTCGTACAACGCGGACCGCCCCACGACGTCGAGTAGGTGCATTGGCAGCGGTTCTTGACGCATTTGCCAGTCTTTAGCGCCGACGTGCCGACGTTCCCGCCAATTGTACAGTCGTCGTCGATCTTGCAAAAGGCTTTTCCCGACACTTCCTTCCACGGGTTGTCGTCGTCCACGAACTCGTCAATGTGCCCCTCGATCCACTTCTTGGTGGGGTGACTGGCCGGATCACAGCCGATCGACATGTAGTTGTCGTCCTCGAGGTCGTCTCCTCTGTCCTGGTACACTCGAATGTAGTCGATCTTCATGTACATGGGGAACGAGTCGCAGATAGCGTTGGTCACGGGATCGTTCCCATCGCCTCGGCACTCCTGGCCTGGGTTCGGAGGCGTCGTACCCCACGATCTAGACAACGCCACATTGTAGATCATGTACATGGGCTCTTCCAGCATCACCTTCTCCGGGTTATCCTTCTTGCTGTTCTGCGGGACGTTCGAGAACGCTTCGGTCGTGACTTCGAACAGAGGCGCACCGTCCAACATCCAACGCACGTAGCCATTCTTGCCAGTGACCCACTCGATCTGGTAATTGAGGTATCCCAAGTATCCACCCAGGTGAATCGGCCAGTTAGACGAGATAGCGTCCATCTGATAGTTGAATGACTTCATCGTGTTGGTCTTGGGTGTGCTCTCGTTACGTGGCTTCTCGCAGTTCTTGTCCGAATTGTCAGGATCACACAGATACGCCCCCATGTACGAGTTCATCAGCGGGTAACAAGTACCGTTCGAGTTGATCCCCCAGTGCGCAGACTTGGTTTTGTCGATGTAGCTCAACTCTCCGTTTACATCTCCAGACGCTGGACACGTATCAACGGTACACGTGTTCTCCTTGATGCCGCCCTTCACCGAAGCGGCCACAGTGTCGTAGTCTTGTTTCTCTGAAGACACTTGTTGACACTGGTTGTTCGCCCCGTAGCGAAGACCTTGATACCACGACTTGTGGCCACGTTCCTTCTTGTAGTACGCTGTGGGCACATCAATCATATTGGCGCCAGGAGTCAGACAGTCGTACGTGAACACACAGTACGGGTTGGTGACGTCAGCTCCCTTCGGGTCTGCGGGGAAAAGACGGTAGTCCAGAGGCATACCGGGAGCAATCTGCAGTGACGAAGAGATAGCCAAGCCACCTCCTTCGAGCAGATCAATCTCAGGAGCCCCACGACCTTGGTTCGGGTTCAAACCGTAGCCCGGGTTGTCGTCGCACGCACTGATACGCTGGTTTCTCGGGTTAAACACGTCCGGCTCGCATTTGTTGTACGAGAACGGCCACATGCGGTTCGTTGAGGCCGAGAAAATCGCTCGCCCCAAGTTCCCCATCATCCAAATACCAGGCCACGTAGGGTAGAACTTGGTTGTCTTGACTTTACCGGATTTTCCAAGGGCCAGGTCGGGGTTACCGGACTTTTCTGTCACCGCACCAGGGAGTTGAGCTCGTACATCGAGCATCCCTCCTTGGAAGCAGAACTTGTTCCAGGACTGCACCATAGCCGCTCGGTACCAGAAGTAGGCATTCTGGTACCCAGCAGGACGCGTGTACATGTTGTAGACGCGAATGACGTTCACTTCGTCCATGGTTTTAATGTAAAAGTAGCACGTGCCGTCGTCGTCGCAAGCGGTACTTGTCATATTGTGCGAGTACAGTTCTAGAGCGCCATTCACACCGTCGGGCTTCTCAAGCGACGTCCACATGTGGTCGTCTCCAGGACGGAAGCTGCGGTTCTTGGTATTGAACTCGTCACTCATTACCAGGTCCCATTTCCGACCGCGAGAACTTATATACGTGTGACGGTCTTTAGGGGTCTCCGGATCCACCCAGACCTCGATCCCTGACTTGGTCGGGTGCGTTGTGCCCGATGAGTTCTTGGATGCTGCCTGTACTGTCGATAGAGTGACTAGAGTCAGCATGACAGCCAGCCACGACACAACCGTCGTGGACCTCATATCTGCAACAATTAGTCAGGCAAGTGATACGGTACCAATCCACACGCGCTGATTAAAATACCTTGCTGTGTCTTGGATAGTAGAACGAGATCTTGCCTGGTGAAATGCGATAATCTTCTCGCTCCTTTTTGCCAAGTGGCGAGCCATGTGGCCTGGGCTGGGGCTGGCCTCTGCAACGACCACGCGAGCAATAGCGAGTCCCGCACGCCAGTGCGGTTTGTCTCCTTTCTGCTACGTTGTAAGCTTCGGATGATTTCTTACACTGATGACCCAGCAATTAAAAATTGTTTAGAAAGAACAATTTGCAAGGGGATCAAATATGATGGCCTCAAGTGGCTTTAAAAATAAAACGAACAGATCGCAGATATATAAGGGTATTATAATATAAGATTAATTGTTTTGAAGGGCACTTCTGTGCCCGTAACGTGTTGTTGTGGCGGCCAAAAAAAAATGTTGGTGAGCGTAAAGGCATCGATCACGGGAAATCGACAGTCGAGGCTTGACACAAGCAGCGAAAGAGCTTGAAAATTGATTTGGCCGCTACGGTACAGTACATAAGCGGTACAGCTAGCTATCATTGATCAGCTCACCATGTTTGCTTTCGCCTTTGGTTGTTAAGTACGTGGTCATGCTTGAGGAGCGATGACAAGGCCGTCTGCGCGGCTGTGGCTCGTTCGAACAGCGTGTAAGGTGTTGTGCTGATCCGCCCACTTTCCACACTCACAAACAGCAAAAGCTCCCACCTGCTGTCTCTCAATTATTGATCACGACAACACGGACAATTGCCGTGCTGTCGTGATCGATAATTGAGAGACAACACCGTGTTGAACACGGGTACAGTTTTGTATCCGCTTGCTCGAATTGGCTCGGAACTTCTGCCAGAAGTGACTCAGAAGTTCTGGGTCGGGCAACACTCTCAGTACAATACTGGTACATGCATTAGTTCGTGTCGATGTACTTCGAATTATTAATACTAGTACGCTGTCTTTGCTTGATTGCAGGATGCTGTCATCTTAACGGTGAGATAATAGTGTCAAACTTCAATGGTGATGGCGACTGTTATTCATGCACAATAAGTCTATAACTCGTCGCTCAGATCTATTATAACATACAGCGTTTGGGAATACAGTACTGGAGCCGGACACACACCAACCCTACGAATGTGTCTTCTTCAGCACGTCATTATCTCGCGGACTGCTGAGGAGCTACGGGAGCAGATTCTTGGGGGGCGTTGACAGGGTTCCTCAAAATTTAATTTAAATGGATTTCTTCGCTTTATGAGAATAGATACCTGCATGGTAGATCAGAAAGCTGCAAATAAAGAACTTGTGCTGCGACTGTGGCGCATGAATATCTGCATCAAGACGTGATCGTGTTACTTGATTATTGGCTTTGGGGAAAACATGCTCCTCGAGCGTTGGGTAGGTGTCAGAGAAGCGTCAGACATGGCTAAGCAGCAAGAGTTTGTAGTTTGACTCAAACTTTGAGCAGGGGTCCCGAAAAACTAATACTCATAAAAATTAATTCAAATTCAAATTTTAAATTCAGATTATAAGTTTTAAGCTTCAATTCATTGCTGAATTGCACCAATTCATTTATGAATACACAGCCTATAGGCTCCACAACCAACCCTTAGCCCCCCACCATTCATTGTGTATGCTCCCTAGCAGCTCTATATACGTATGTCATTCTTAAATTATTTTTAAATTCAAGCTCTCACCTCTAAGCTCTCAACCATTTTTTCGGCTTGCAGCGACTAGTCAAATCTGCTCCATGCTTTTCACCACAGTCGGAGACAAGATCCATACCTGCACGACATGTGGCAAGACCTACAAGAAGGGAAATGGCTACACAAACCTACTAAATCACCTGCGTCGCAACCATGCCGACTACGAGCAAAAGGACCAGGAAGCAGCACGCCGTCGAATCACCTAAACCTACACCTCGTCATCCAGCGATCTCGAGATTTCTACCGCTGGCTGGAGTGGGCTATCTCCGGGCGGCCCCCGTTCGGGTTCGTTGAGCACCGCCACACGAGACTGAATTCCGCTCTCTCTACAGTCTCTGAGGACACTCTGTCAAAGTACGTAAGGCTAGTGAGTGAGGCTGTCGAAGCCCGAGTCGCGAACGATCTTCCTGACTCGTTTAGACTCGTACTGGGCTGGTGGACTAGTAGCAATCGTCACTATGTAGCAATCATTGCGGTGTACGACACAGTTGGTAATACCGGTAATACTAGTATTCGGGCTTCAAGTGACTATTTCGACGACTTGGAGTGCACGTCCCACCGGTTCCTACTTTTGGCGCTCTCTCCTGTTAAATCTAAGGAAGATCTGAGCGCACAGAGTCAGATCAACCTCGTTGCAGATACTCTCTCTCTCTCTACAACAAGCCCTGGGACTCGGTTAACTTCATGGTGGGAGATAACTGCTCGGTGAACCAGTATATTGGTAACAAGGAAGGCGCTATTCCCTTGATCGGCTGTGCTAGCCACATATTTAATCTGGCCGTGAAGGATTTTCTAAAGGAGGAGGACGAGGTGATCACGAAGATTCACGCGCTGATGCCCAAGCTCTGGACTATCAAGGGTAGAGCGATGTTACGCCGCGTCTCCCATCTGTCTCCGCTCCTGCGGAATGAGACCAATGGTCGAGTACGTACGAGATGGTCGAGAGGTACGTGAAGCTCCACCCGTCCATAGCTCAGCTGGGTCACGGAATACTTGTTGAGCATGAGGTGCAGCCTTTGCTGCTGCGGCGGGCCGAGCACGAGCGCGCCAAGGAGTTGATTGATGACCTAACTGCTTTTGAGGCGATTACCAAGACGTTACAAAAGTACTATCGGTTGTGCGGCGGCTTTTCGACCAGTTCATCAAGCAATACCCGTCCCTGAAGCCTCGGCTAGCTGTGACAGCTGCCATCGCTAGCTTTCCCGATTTAGAACAAGGTGTGGTCAAGCCGCAGAGGAGTGAGGCACTAAATTTGGCTGAGAGGACAGCTTGTGCAGAATTTAGAGCGCCAAGTTTGGAACAAGCACCCGTAAGAGGCGCAGCCGACTCGTCGACTGTCAAGGCCGCCTTCAAGAGACGCAAGGTTGCCAAGCGCTCGCACTTCGTGGATGTTGCCTACATCCCACCGACTTCGAATGAGTGGGAGAAGTAAGGTGTTTCTTAAGCGAAAACACATTTTCAGTATATATTTTTTTAAAGGATCCCTGGGCGTCGAGCGCGAAGCGCTTTCAAACAGCTCGCGTGAAACGCACCCGCACTTGTACAGACACTCGACAAAGTACATGCTCTCATCAAGAGCAGCACTCACAAACGTTTCCTCGATCGTCTCAGTAGAACCGTCGCCAGTCTTGTAAGGAAATTCCACGATCTCGGCACAATTGCCACTGGCGGCATTTTCAAAGGATTCGTCTACCACATTCGACGAAATAGATGCTGTGGTATACAACAACTCTACGACATTGACCGAGCTGCTTCCCGCTGCCTCCAGGAATACCTCAATAATCACGTCAGAAGAGTTGCACCCTTTTGCGTACAATAACTGCACTACGCCGACTTGATCGGCGATGTTCGAACATGGGAGCCCTTAATCTTTAGCTGCGCTCAATAACACCTTAGCCGTCACTTTATCAGAGATGGTTCTCTTGCCATCCAGCACTTTAAGCACTTCGAGATGACTATCACCACCCACCACAATCTTTGCTTTCTAAAGCGTTGAAGACGCAATCTGGTACCCTTCAGAGTAAAGTTGCTGGATAGCTTCAATTTGACCACATCCTGCTGCGCATTGGAATGCCTCTGCCAGCATATAATCGTCAAATTCTCGTTTGGCTCGCAGATATTCATAATTGCTGCGTAGCCGGCTTCAGCGGCAACTATGAAAGTCTTGTTTATCGCTGCCGCACTGCATCTTGCCCCCCCCCCCCAATAAGAGGCCGTGGAAGAGCTCGTGCGCAACCCGTATCGCCAGTTCATGTCTCTAATTGACCTCACATTGCTATGCGTTGGTAAAATGGAACCAGGGCCGCTGAAAAATAAATGGCACTTTCAAAAATGGCCATACATATTATTTCAATTTTTATTAGCCATTAAAAATTGTACATCATAATTTATGACACCAAGGTACTATTTTGAATACATAATTTATGCGAATGTACAATTCATACTTACGTTAGTATGCAGAAACGACTGCCCTCCCCAAGCCAGCCATCTATTCTTCCTTCTCTCGGACACATTGTCTCCTCACTTTTTAAAATTCTTTGTTTGCTACAAGCTAAAAAACACGCCTAACGCCATGCTTTCTACGCCTCGTGCCGGTGCAGCCTTTTCTAACCCTCAGATTGCGATCTACTTCTTTACATCATGCCGAGATCAGTATGATGAGACTGTGCCTGAGTACTTCCGGTGCCGCTGCAGCAAAGTGCACGAGTAGTCGAATCCAAATGGCTTGATCAACCTCCTGCATGTGCGCAGACAGGTTCTGTGGTGCACTATACCCGTCGCACCGGTCTGGCTGGCTCGAGTGGATCGTGAAGGCAAATCTGTCTTTCATGTTCCGTGAGAGTACTCTCGCTCGCCGGTAAAGACTACTCTTACTATTTCTGATAATTATAGTACTAAAATCGTATTGCTTTGATTAGATGCACTTCCTTGGAGCCAATCTAGGTGGAAACGCTACGCACACTACTCGTAGGCGTCACCCGTTCCGTGGAAGCTGCTGTTGCGGCGGAGTTGCCAGATGGTTTTGGCCTTATGTCCGATGGGTGGACTCGTTCATCCGAGCATTTCGTCGCAGTGTTTGCGTACTGCGATCATAATGGTGCTGCTAAGACTGCGCTTCTTATCATGGCCTCGGTCATCGACGAGCCGGACGAGGACATGTCAGCCCGCACCCACCGCGCTTATCTAGTGAGAATGCTCGAAAGATATTATAGGAACGATCTAAGCTGCTGCCAGTACGTGGTTGGGGCCAACTGTTCTGTGAACAGGAGACTCGCAACCATAATGCAAGTGCCATTCGTCGGATGTGCTAGTCACCGACTAAATCGGGCGGTTCAACAACTTTTGGCAAAGCACGACGAAGATTTGGCTGCTGTGCAAGGTCTGATCTCAAAGATGCGGACGCTTAAGCAGTCAGCGAAACTTCGGTAAGTACTATTAATTTTACTATCGATTTTTAAATATGGTACTGATATCATTTCGTTTTATAAATACGCGACTGATATGGTTATTTAGTTTTTACTAGATTTATTACTTTACTTCGGTAACTCATTCGTCAGGATACCCGCTGAGAATCCACCTTCGCACTGGTGCATCGCTATTTTTCCCTGTTGGAGGTTTTAGACCAAGAAGAAGAATAGCCCATGGACTTGCTATTGTCTCCGGCGTGAAATCGCCGGCTCAAGAATCTCTTCGTAGACCTCAAGGACTTTGAGTCAGTGTCGAAATCCTTACAAGGGGAAAACGTGAATATACTGGACGCGCGTGTCTGGATCGACGGGCTCATGGAAGTCCAGCCTGCGTTCGCTACTTATATCGGTACGGTTTGCTTTGTTTCTAGTGCTTTATAATACTTGCTAAATCAAACTGATACACACCGGTCGTCGGACAAACATCGTTCACAGCCCAGACTTTGGTTCGGGCTGTGTCCGGGTTCTTAAAGGAAGTGGAGCACGTCTCACCACAGCAGAGAAGCGGGCGCTTCGTCCTTGCCTCCTGACGGACCCAGACAATCACAAAGAAGAAACCGATAATGAGTCTCTTGTGCAGCGGCTTGAAGCAAGAGAATCCCGATACAGCCTCGCTAGCAGCATTCCGGCTACCTCAAACAAGGTGAAACGGTTCTTCAGTGCTTCTCGCACAACACTTGGGCAAGAGCGTAAAGGCTTGCAGCCCATTACGCTGGAAATGACTCTTTTCCTGCGAGAAAGCTCCCGTTTTTTATGCTTCTACTGTGCTGCAGGAGATAAATCCCGTGGTAAACATACACTCGAGAGCGCCAGCTTGATCGCCAGCAGCTTTGAAAAAAAGGCTCAATGTTTTAGGCCGCCTATGCAAAGGCCTCTCTAGCTTGCTGAGGAGATAGCTCTTCTCGGTCGCACAGAAACTTGACCACTTCGGGGTATCCCTCACCGGCTCCATACCCTAGCAACTGTCTAGGGACGAGCCCAAAAGCTTAAATCCTTCGATAGAGTACAGGTACTTAAGCGCGTCCACTTGGCCAAATAATGTCGCCATCACAAATGAGACAACCCAGAACCTTATGATAGTAATGCGCCATTTGGAGTTATGAAGATAATCGCCTTTAAAGTTAGACCATTGATTTTCGTACCTAAAAGAAGTCTTGAGAAAACGACCGATATGTGGAACGGTCACTAAAGCGAGCTCACTCAACAACAGCCCGTTCAGAAGGTGTCCTGCCAGCAATGCACCGTCAGCTTTCGCCCCAGCATCCAGCCTCTGCGGAGTCTTCCGCCACGATGCAGGTGCCCTCCAGCGCCTTTCCTACCAGCCCACCGGTGTCCAGTATGGCCCCTCTTTCAGTGACTTCGGAGGCTACACAAACCGTGAGTGGCTGGCGCAGGATATTAACAACGTCGACGCTGAGCCCACCCAAAACAAAGCAGAGGAAGAAGAAAGCGACGAACCTGACGACCGTGGTGAAGAAGACTGGAGTGATTCTGACGATGCTGACGATATCTCTCGTGATGAAGAAGTGCTAACCGGGGAGAGCGAACCTGAAGAGCAGGAAGCGCCAAGCGAAGAGCAAGGCCACAATGCCAAAGCAGCAAAACGAGCTCGTCTGGATCACAGAGCAGGAATGGCCGCCGCTGCTCAAGTCAGCCAGGACCACCGTGGTAAAAGTACTGAAGCGGAGGACACGCACGCATATAAAAAGACAAAAAACTGAAGCAAAGATCGGTGAATGCTAAACAGGAAGATGTCTGTTTTAAAGGGATACTTAACTTCCATCAGGAAACCAATTGGTTACTTATCGGCAAATTGTCACTAATTATGTGTTTCAGATGAACGCTCAATTTAAAGGTGTTCCGCTCCGAATTAGACAAAATGAACGGCACCATTCGCTCCGCAGTCGAATTTTACGTCTAGAGTCAGGAAAAAATCGTTTTTCGGGCTGGGACAGGAGACAATTGTTTTGAGAGGCTGTAACTCGGTGAGATTTTGGCTCTAGCGACTACTCAGGGGCTCAAAATAAAGATGAGATACTCGCCTTTAGAACCAAGTGCTTAAATCGCGATTCGTTCTTAGGTTCATTAGAATTATTATGCTTGACGTTGTCTCAAATACGCCGTCCAAACCCTCAACATCAAAGTCTTCTTTCGAATGAAAGAACCTCATGATCTCAATCTGCCCAGCACTTACAGCGAATTCGAGCGGATTACACGTACAGTACTGCACCCTGTTTTCGCGCCCTTGGACCTTTGATAAAATTCCGGATGTGATGGTCTTGAATCCAAATGAGCTTTAATTTGTAGACTAAAATCTTGTTTATTTGCAGATTCTACACGGTCCACCCCCGCGAAAACGGGGTGCAGTACTATACCAGATAGCGACAAAGAGTCAAATTTGCCATCATCGTAGAAGAGCGTGATAAACTCCGAAGTGGGCCACACTAACCAACGCTTGTCCCAATGAGGAAGGTTTGCTACGATTATAGGTGTACAAGTACAAGTAGTTGGCAATATCAAGGTGGCCAGATTTGACTGCAGTGGCCAACGGACAATTTTTATCGGACATTATCTCTTCGTCGTCACTGTCGTCATGGTCATCACCATCTATGGACTCTTCTTCTCCCTTGTCCTCTGCATTGTCCTGGTTGCTCTCTATGTCGCGGTATAACTCGTTTCCATAATTTTCGTTGAGAAACTTGACAATCTCAAATGAGTCATTGTGCGCTACCATTGCCATTGCGAGATACCAACTCTTTCTGCTTTATGAAAGTCAAAATTCGGCTGTGCAAAATCTAGATCGATCAACCGAGGATGGCGCCCCAAGCGAGCGTCTAGGAAAAGGGCAGAATTTTGCAAATTGGATTTTGCAATCTTTTGTTGTCCCTTTTCTAGTGCGTTCTTCAGCCCCTCACTGATATCCCACTAAATACTGAAGCTCCACAAAGGCGCAAAAGCTCCAATTCTCAAGTGCCAGCAAGTGTGCGCGGCCACAACCTGCTCGTCGCTTTCGTATTGGACTTAGACAGTCCTACTATCTGTATACCGCCACTAAGACGCCGGAATGACCGAAAATTGTAGCAATTTCGGTGAGTTCATGGGCCGTTTCGATCGTGGATGTCGCGGAATTTTGGCAACGTCAAAAGCGTCTTGAGTCACTGCATCTGATTGGTCGCTGCTGTTTCTCTCGCAGCTTCGGCGCCCGACATCGCGAGCTCGGAGATTAAGTTTATTTCCTTGGAGAATCTCGCGGGGCAGCTGCATCTGTCGTGAGCACTTGAGAGGAGCCCGCGCTCTATCTGGCAATACTTATTAATACATGCTCACACGTCAGTTCCAAAACGTGTCAGTTACATCGTGGGCATTTTTACTCTTTTTAGTAAGTAAACATATTATGAAACGACTACTTCTCTAGCTTATCAAAACATTTTTAATTTGTCTTTCTGACGGCATGGATTCCCAAATTTAGAAGTATGTCGATTGGCGTACTAAAAAATGATCCAAAGGCAATGTCGTTAACGGACCAGTATGCCTCGTTTAAAAGGATAGCAACGAAGATATATTGTAATGAATTACATGGTCATGAAGTCATACTACGTCTCAGCTTTGCAAGTCGGAGGCATAAAGTAGTGTAATACATCGTTCGCCCCTAAGTGGAGCGGCATTTGTCTACTCTAGAGCAAAAAAAAGACGCTTATGAATGTGATCCATCCGATCAGGGCTCCCGATTATAACATTGCTATTTATCGGGAGCCCACCTTCAGCATAAATAATGGAAGTGGACAGCTAGTGTCCAGCAATACAATATGACATCTACAAAGATCACGCAATAAATAAGAGCATAATGTAAAGGAAAGTAACATCATGTTAATTGTTAACGAGTGACATCATCGACGGTCTACTGTCCAGTACCCATCGTTTTGCTGCAGGAAAGGCACCACTTCCAGAGTAATTGGCTGCAGGCTGTGACGCTCTTGCCCGTTCGTCGTTCGTGCAACGCTAAGAAATCGCTCAACCAGGTTAGACGTGGGCGTAATGACGCTTAGCAAATTGTACATTGGTTTAACCGCTGCCAGAGGGCATCTTTATTGTAGAGCATCTACAAAAGTGCCTTCTTCCTCAGCAACACTAGGTGCACTTTCATTCGCGCAGCGGAAGGGCCGCAGCGCCGCCTTATCCGCCCTTGTCAGCCGGTGGCTGCCTTCGAGGACGCGTACGCAACCCGACTCGAATTCGGGACTGTGAACGATGTCGACACGGGTCATATATGACACAAAAAAACGCAAATGAATTGCATGTTGGCTCACAATATTATACAATAAACAAATAGATCTGACCGAGATATGTGGCGTACTGTGGGCTTACGGCAATGAGACCGTCGAGCCACACCCGAATATTCAACAATGTGACGCCTGAGCCTTGTAGTGCTTTAAAAACTAATTTCACCTTTTATAGCCCCTTGAGCAGCAACAACAGGCACTTGTTGCACAACGGCGCTGAAAGGACGACCACGAGCGCATCCTCTGTCGAATCGAGGTGCCCGAGGAGCTGAAAATAGCGCTGAAGCATATAAAAAGTTGAGCTCCAGCCTGTGTTCTGTGAAATTACAGGACGAAGTGGCGTCTTCAGCCTACATTTAAGTCATATCAAAATTATAAATTGCGAAGCAAGTACAATACTTAGAAAATAAAAGCCATCATAAAATAGCAATCACCCTAGCTTGGCAGCCTGCTTCAGGGCTCGTAGTCGCACCATTAGGGCTTGAATTCCTGCGAAGTCTTTTTCATACTGCTGCATATCCACTGGGACTGCCCTATTTAGCCGGTGGCTAGCACATTCATTAAGCGGGACACCCATCAGCGCTGCTAACAGTCGATTGACGGCGCCGTTGTCCCATACAATAAATGAACAATCCACCATATGAATACCAAACCCGCGGACCAGCATCCCAGCTAGAAACTAACCGTCCCGGCGCGC